CCAACCATCCCTGAGCATATATAAAATTATCTATCATAAGTGTAGTTTTTTCACAGTTACTAGGACTCACTATCAAACATCTAATATTATTAGGTAATAATTCTCCATGACGTTTTGTAGATACAGTCTTGTCTGGTATTTTTATTTTAATATACCAGTCTACATGTTTCATGTTTTTCTTGCTCATTTATTAATATATTTTTTTAATAATATAATAAATGAGTAAAGTATTCAAACTAACAGATAACAAATCAGTGTTGAAGAAGAAACTACATTACCCTTTAGAGATAGAGGGGCACTAATTGGCTTTAGTTCAGTTCTATACTACTTGTCTAACGCATAACATTATCTCTGGGAAAAATAATATATATTTTGTGGGCCAGAATGATATGGAATCAGTAGTTGGTATTCCAGTTGGCCAATATATCTTAAAAGATCTTGAAAAAACTATAAAAACAATTTTTTCATTTAGTGTAGATTCAATGGATGGGAAATAAAATGATATATCTTTCGAGCTGGATAAAATATCAAACAGAGTGAAAGTCAACTGTAGGCTTAAATTACAGCTTGGAAAACGGGGTTCAATAGGAAAACTTTTGGGTTTTGTAGAAAATAAAACTCTGAAAGCAAATGTGCACCATTATGGCGATACAATTCCAAAATTTGCTCCATTTGAAACAATGAATATACACTGTAATATAGCAAATGGTATGATATTAGAACATTATGAATATAATCATAGAGAAACTAACATAATTACCACTTTTAAACCAAGAACATTTGGATTTGGTGACACGATCTAGTACGAACCAACGTATCCATTATTTTTTTCCAGTGCAAATAAAGCAAGTTAATGAAATTATAGTTGAAATTAAGAATGAAAAAGGTAAGTTAATTAACTTTGATTTGTCTGAAAGAACAGTGGTATTAGAGATGAGACCATAGATATTTTTTGGATTGGAAGTAGTCATATTTTATATATAATAACTTTAATAGTTTAAAAACTATTAAAGTTTCATGTGATAAAGATGAATAACATTTCTATAGAAAGTGCAATGAAAGATTTAGAAAAAGAATTCAATTTTTCGGCTACTTTAATATGTCGAATTTGGAGATGTGTATCTAAAACTCTAATTAGACTATGTTGTAGCACAAGGCTGAACTCAGAGCGATAATTGTGTTTTAATGATTGGATAACCATTAAAACTTTATAGAGATATGAATGCAAATAAAAATACTTATGTCTAATTATGCAACGACGATCATTTACTCTTTAAAAAACCAAATAGAATGCATTTGTTTAACACCACAATCCACCATTCCATCATATGCAAAACTTATACCTCCACGATTAACATCATTTAAAACTTTTTCACTGAAAATCTGAACATATCTGTTTGGTAAGGTTACTTTAAAATTTCCAGAAGTAATTATCACTTTGTATCCATACCGTGAATCATTTATTTCAGCATGGTTTATGGGATAGATCTGTCCAATTGTAAGTTCGGAAAGTTTCTGAAATTGTTTGGTTCCGTTTAATACATTTAGCAACTGATCCATCTTTATTATATACAATATTTTATTTTTTATGTATTCAAATTTTTTGAGCCACTTTTTTTTTTGCAACTGCGCCCAAACGCAACTTTTTACTCGTATTTTTGCAGATGCACTCAAGCGCAAAGTTTAACGCAACTTTTTTTTCTAAAGACTATGATCTGACCAAACGCAAATTTTTGAGCAACTTTTTTGCGGTTGTGCCCGAATCGGCATTTGATGTTTTGGATCAGAAAATTAAGATTTATTTTTTTTAGGGTTTTCTGATGGCTCGAGCGTTTATTTTACCGTTGTTTTTCTGATAACTGGGGGCTGTGCTCGAATCGGCATTTTAATACTATCGATAACTGTTATGAATTGTAAATGTTAATTACATCTCTTAAACAAAAACACACATAGAATATAATATTTGCAACTAACGAATTTTTTGTTCAGAACTGTGAATAGAGTTCTGGCGTACGTCACGATCGATGAAATATGTGTTTCTTTCCATGTTGTGAGGCAGCAGCTGTTTATAAGGCTGTGGAAAATAGTCTTTAAAACGGGGATGACTTATCTTACTGTACATTGGACGCACAAATCTCTCCACTCCACTTATTGTACATTGCTTCTTGCTGTGTACAGTATAGGTAATTCGGTCCACTTCCTGAAAGGGAATGTGACTGAAAAGGTTAATGAATAGAAACATAAATTGAATACCTAAGAAAACGAGCTAACTGCAGTGCAGATACACTACATAAATAAACAAAAATCAGAGAGAGTAATTTGCAAAAGGAAAAAACATTCGTTTTTAAACTTAAAGTGTAAATGAGAAGAAAAGTGATATAATTTATATATCTACAACAAAACACTTCAAAATAGAAATAATTTTAAAATCCCCGGTACAAAAAATTAATATTTCAAATAAGGATATTGGTATAGTGAAATAACCTAATGTGCTACTTCTCCATGTTTGAAAGAATTTAAACTACCTCGGAAAAGAAAATTATTAGCCTCATTATGATGATTTGTAATGTATTGTAAAAATTTTCCTAGGGCGTATCAAAGTTTGTGAGAGATGGAGGTCTCGATATAAATACAAGAACTAAATTTGATTTCTTAATTTCTTTACAATGATTCACAAGTACTTGCAGTTTTTATTTACAAGTTACATCTTCTTATCCGAACTATTTAAATTTTTTATTCCTATCAGTGAACGCAATTTTTACGCTATTCTCGGTTATAATTAAAGCCTTTACCACTTTGTTTATACCAGTTACTGTCACTCGATATTCACTTATTTTTATACATATATATTAAAAAGGCCCAATGTCATATATTGCATCACTCTAAATGCCCGTCACTCACGCATCAGTCCCACATTCCTACAGTCCAGCCGCTCGGAGGCTCAGTGTAAAGTGTCTGATCTCCCCATTGTTGCACAGGACAGCAGGCCTGCTATAGTTCACTGTATATTTTGTTGCGTGTATTTACGCAGTAATTACATGAAAAATGTTCGTCTGCGATGAGAAAATGTAAAAAGTTACATCGACGAAAATGGGATTCGTACCAATACGTGAATAACACGTCGAATTAGTAGTCCAACACCTTAATCATTTGGTACCACGTCTACATACCCCTAGACTTGCATACAGTGGTGTTAATGTTATCAACATGGCAACAATAGGTCACTCATGTGATAGCACAGCTAAAAGTACTATTTTGTAGTAACGCTGTGCTCGCTAAGAAAATATACGGGTTCCTTTGTTGGGAAAGTTTGTAATATGTTTAATTTTACATTTTAGGAGTTCCTGTGTGCAAAGAAGCCAGTTACAATAGCGTTGGCGTAACATCACATAATTTCACCCCAAAAAAGATACGGTGGCTTAAGATTAAACACGGACAATTGTTATTTCAACCTCCAGACCTGGATCTTATGGCACATAAACTAGTACTATTTTTTTTATATAACATGATACATTTGTTATTATTTTCTGAGTTTTTTTTTAAGGAGTAGACTTATAGCTCTCTCCATAATAATAAGTGAATTTTCGGTGTCCTGAGGACATTTTGTCGATACGATAGCATTTTTAAAAATAAATATTAAAAGTCATCCCACATAAAAGATTATACTTCTAGTGAAGCATTTACTTGTTAGAGACTATAGATGAAGTTTATGATTCCATGTGACCCAGGCTGATATAAGGTTACATACTTCTTTATTTCCCACTAGACATGCATAAAGTGTGTAGACCATTCATTGTTACTTCACACTTTTCTGAAGCTCTGCTAAATTTCTACTTTTGGTTATCAACTACGTATCCTTCCTCTACACGTAAACATAAACACTGCAATTTGACTTCTAGGTTTTAATTGTAAAATACTTTGTTTACTGTTTACAGCTGTTCAACGAATTATGTCATATTTCAGAAAAAATTACGAATATTGACAATTGCATTTTGTACTTATGGTTTTTATTATACATTGTTAACATACTCTAACAAATTTGTTCGCAGATATACTACACTAGTGTGTGCATACAGTGGGAAAGAGCGTATGGCAAAGTGTTCTCCGATATGTTTATGGTAGCATGCTTACATTTGCACAAAAAACCGTCGAATTTATAGAGAAGTTATCAATTATGTATTGTAGCGGTGCTAAACATTTTTGTATTTGCAGCTTGATATACGGTAATATTTCCATACAGTGCATTGTTTAGAAACTTCCATTACATTTTAGAAGTTTACTTAAAGATTTTTTTACAATGCATATTTGTTAGACATGATATAGCTTATTATACACGCTAATATCTTTCCACTGCTCCGTTTAACCCAGTTACAACTGTGGGGGAAAGAACATTTGGTATTTAATATCATGTTAGTGATGTGTGTTGGGTTATTTCGTTTGTACTTAAAAAAATATTATACTTTCAATTTGTAAGTTTTATAGTTATGAATGCGCACACTACTACAGTAAAAATTCCGATATGAAAAAAATATTTTTATTATCCTGATGAATGTTGTGGACAAACATGATTTTATAACTCTTCTGAAATTAATTAAGAGCGTACGTCACATGAAAGAACTTTGGGCACAAGGCCTATCATTACATTTTAATCAACAGGTGAAGAAAAAACTTTTTTAAAAGAGGTGAGTACGTCGACAAAGAAATTTATACTAATATACGCCTTTATTATTTTATAGGTCTAATCGATACTTCTTCGCCTAGAAACTGGTTACGAAAGCACACATCTTATGATGATCATTTAGCTTCTGCTATGCGAGTGTGATTACTACAAATAACAAGAATTGCGGCTACATAAGCAGCTGAATTCTGATCTTTACATTAAGTCCATAATTTATTCGATAATTCATTCCTGCGGAATGTAACTTCTTCCCCCAATTGTAATGTGATTATTTAATAATGATACTATTATAATACTTGTATATAAACAACGTCTCTTGCGAAGTAGAGTGACGCAGTGGGAGCGTGCCGGGCCAGTAACCCAGAAGTCCGTGGATCGAGACCACGCTCTGCTATACAAAAACATTTTCCTTCTCGTAATCTTACTTTTTAAGAGCAGGGATGTATTTATGCATCTCTATACAAAATAAGCATAACTTTTCTTGTAGTTTTTAAGTTGATTAGTTATAAATATAGGACATTGCAGTGCTTAAATTTTATATGATAGCATATTTTCTCCAGTTTAGAGAAAATGTGTGTATATATCTACTCCAACTACAGACGATTACAGTCTCGTTGTATTAAACTGAAAATAATATTTCCCAACTCGTGGAGCTTCCAATTGACGAGTAAAACACTAATACCCACTTCACACATGCAGTGTTCTAATCGTGGGTAAATTATCAGCTGATCATGCACAGAATCTTGTGTGTAGTCTATGGGATCAAGGTGGAAAATTCAAGAGTGCAGCCAAAATATATCAGGAACCGTTTTAAGACATGTTACGAGTGAGACAATTGAATTTATTTCGTTTTTATTCCGATCGTTTACTTCGAAGGCATGGATTTTGGTTTATCCGCGAAGAAAAAATTTCACCCTTGAGAAAGGTGCCAGTAAATGAATAAATAAACTAATCTTGTAAAATTTAGATAACGTTACAAAAATAACTTATTCTAATTTGAGGATATAGTTTGAAACATAATAAATGAATTTACAAACAAATTTATTACACCTAGACTATTTAGTAAGGAATTTAATGGCCTATCAATAAAAAGAAATCATATTTTATATATAATATTTGTAAAATTTATTTTGTTATTATACTTTATTGAAAAATATGAATGAACTAATTAGTTAATCAAGATAAAAAAAATATTTATTTGGTATAAAATGTTATACATGTATTAGTATTATAAAAAATATGGGTAATATAGTTTATGACATAGAACAATATTTAGAAATATACATTAATATTTACAATTAATTTAAAACGCGCTTTAAATATTGTTATTACACAAATAGTCAGCAATAGTAATGCTAAAACAATGTATTGTGCCAGACATATCATTAACATATTTTTCTTGGTAATATTTATATTACACACGTAACACTCATGCTTGATCATCCTTTATGTAAATATCTTCTTCATATGTATTGCACTTGTACTATGTCACATGGTTTTAATTTTTCTGTACACATACAATTTTTAATATTTTCAAATTTTTTATCACGTTATGACATTTAGTTTTGTTGGAAGGTGGCAAATTTTATTCTTTTTAAGCTAGGATTTAATTAGATCTCATTTGGAAGTCAATCTTATTACTTAAATATTGTTTATTTTTCTTAGAGACCCGTAACACTAGGTTTTGTTAGTTAAGGACGGAGAAAGTAGTGCGTACGTGGTTGGTTGATAGTTTTCAGGATCCCATTGGACTACTGGTTTGGTCCCTGTCACCCATTGGCTGAAATCTCTAGGCCCTTTATGCATGCTCCAACCATTCGAGCAAGAAGTCCTCTTCTTCTTCGCACGACGCCGTACTTGTAAGACGTATATACAGGACTCTCCCCTGCGTGTGGGTGGAGTGTAGGAATTTTGATTAGAGAGCAGGTTATTAATTATCTTTCCCGATTTTTGTAAGTGTGCTATCTGACGTGCGCGAGTATTTTCACCTGGCTAGGGCCCCTAGAAGTCAGGAGGTAGAATTATTTTATTTTGTGTTATAGTTGGGACTCCGCAAACGTCCAGTGTGCCCCAACGCCTACTCCACTGCAGATGTCGTTTAGAGTCACTGATGACCAACTTCCATATAAAATTCTACATCACAACGAGCTACATCTATTTCTAACTTCAGATCAAGTAATCATATGTGGTGCATGGTTCTGGTTATACTGATAGAATCGCCCAAATATATATATATATATATATATATATATATATATATATATATATATATATATATATATATATATATATATAATCAGCTAGAAGCATCTTAAGTAGTAATAAGATGCTATTTCCATTACGCATTTTTTTCTTAGCTGAATTTTTACTTCCGTGTAAACCTGTGCAGATTTTCTATTTCACCCTGAGCTAGGTAATTAACATTTAAATTTTTAATACAGAAAAAACATATATTTTTGTTTCAGTAATTAGTGATATTTTTTATTTTTGACCGACTTTAGTGACAGCTAGAGAACAACTACATTGGCAATCACGTACAGCCATTGGAAGTTAGGCACGGCCACTTTTCCTTCGTCGCTAGGAGGGTTTCTTTGATTGCTTAGATTTATGCTTGCCATCACGGTTTTCAGAAATTAGATAGTCCAAGCAAATTTATAGATATTAAAAATTGAAAATGATGAGAAATGCAATAAAAAAATATTGGACTTTAAACTCATCACCAGTGTTCGCCTAACTTATTTGCAGCAATCATATATTGTGTTTCCATTGCTACTGCATGTAAGTGTTTTGTCATAATTACTTACAGTTTAGGTGCTTGTATTTATCATTGGTCTTACATACACGAAGTGTGTAGATGGTTACTGAGTTGCTGAAGGTAATTATAAGAGGCGTGGTAATCCTCCTGACTGCCAATAAATCCGGGCAAATAAAAATATTAAATAGTGACAGTTATACTTGTAAATAATACGTACAAACAAAACAACACTTTTGTATATGATTAAGGTCTCTTTAAAGTCTCTGATCTCCCTATTGGTTACACCGACGAGGATGGGATTGGAACCCACGCGTGCAAAGCACACTGGATTAGCAGGCCAACGCCTGAACCACTCGGCCTCCTCATCACAGATATTGTTAATGTTTTGTATACAATATTTTTATTGTTATCGATATGGTTACGATAGATCACTCATATAATATCACAGCTAAATTTACTTTTTTTGTTGTTCCACATTACTCGCTGTAAAAATATACATTGAAATGTAAAGTAATTTTCAATTTATTTTATGCATAATTATGTACATATAAATATGGGAATACAAAATAAATTTACATTTCAATACTAATATATACATATACCTACAAGCCTATTTAAGTAACATATAGTTATGTAAGTACCTGTATGTTTTTGTTTGGCGAACGAGTATTTGGGATTTTCCTCAGAGTGCTACCATACCGCGAAGATGAATTGCGAATACGAAGGCCTGCCTTTTTGACCTCGACGATAATGGAGCCATGAACATGCATCATCTCTAACTGGTTGTCGCCAGTGTCGATTCTGCGATCGAGTATTCACCAAAGTATAAATACGCGTCTTTATACATTTTCGTTTCATTACCATTCACGACTTGGAACAGCACGGACATGAAATGTCAATGATGCATCTGCTGTGTCACTTCTGCGGTAAAGCATTTGCAGCTTTACAGAATATACGACGTCACGAATAACAACATGTAAGAAGAGAACTTCGAATGTGACACTTGAATGAAATTTCTGCCACAGGCAGTTTACACGGAGTGATATTTTGAAGAGATATTCTGAAATGTGTAGCATTGGTTCTCTGCAACTACAATCAGCTCCGCCACCGTCTCCGCCTTTGACTCCACCTCTGCATGCTCCACAATCAGCTTCGCCTCCGCAGTCAGTTCCGCAATCAGCTCTGCCTCCGCAATCAGCTCCGCCTCCGCAGTCAGCTCCGCCTCCTCCTCCGCATGCTCCAGAAGATTGGAGGGGCAACATACTGATACCATACGCATTCATGCTGAAGATGAAAATATTTTCCACGAATCGCTACATGGAAGCCTATTTCCCAATACAATGAGGTTCATCATCGCGGGACCATCGGATTGTGGCAAGACGTGCGTCCTACTGAGCCTGCTGGAAGAAGAGAACCGCCTTCTGTTCGAGAATGTGTGCCTATACTCCAAATCACTCCAACAGCCGAAATACCAGCGATTGGCACATGTACTGCAAGCTGTGGCTGACGTGTGTTACTTCCCAAGCAGTGATAATGAAGCTGTCGTACCTCCGAGCGAAGCACTACAAAACTAGATATTTGTCTTCGATGACATTGCCTGCAAGAAATAAACTTGCATTCAAGAATACTTTAGCATGGGTCGGCACGCATATGTGGACTGCTTATACCTCGGCCAGACTTATTCGCGCAAAGCGTAACAACTGCTTCGCGACAATGCTAACGTGTTGCTGCTGTTTCGCGTGGACGATACGAATTCACATCATGTTTACGATGATCATATTAATACGGACACGACTCTATCAGATTTCAAAGATATGTGTGCCTTGTGCTGGAAAGAGGAATAGGGATTTTTGACGATCGTTAAGGACTGTTTGCTACATAGGGAAAGTACATGCGTGGGTTCCATAAGTTCATCGCTGTCTGCCGAGAGGGTTCGTCTACTGAAAACCAGCATGTGATGTCATCAATACCTCTTGCTGCATCGATGGGTACTGTTTCTGAGCACGATTATGATGGGGCAGCTAACGCTAAAGACGGAATGAGTTCAGTACAGTCTGTTTGTGCCGAAGGTACACTGGAAAGATATTCGAGTGAAGTAGAAAAACTTCATAATAACTGATCATCAGCTCTAAATACTGATGAACATACAATTCCTGCTACAAAGAAAAGTAAACTTGATATTGAGGATGCAGCAGGAAGTGAAACCGATCATAACGGTAGCATTGACGACGACTATGGTAATTTCCTCAACGGTCCCACACATTTCCCCAATTTCCCCAACGAGTTACCTTCGACAAGTGAAGTGAAGAACGCAGAAGACGCCGAGTAAACTGACGATATGGTTACCGGAGATCCCAACAAACATGTAGACAAACTTAAATATTTGCTCTATAAGCAACAACTTAGGGATTACTCAACTATGAAAGAAGTGGTTTTGATCATAAGAGCAATTAAGGATCGGGGTTATATCAGATGATGTGATTAACTGCTTTCTTCTGAAAATGTATTTACTAAATAATAATAAATTATTATTATTAAAAAATGTTTATTCTTTATTTTTGTGTCTCGTATCGTACTGTTGGCCTTTAAGATTTTAATACCAAGAATATATATTTAAAATATTTAATAAATTAAGCCTG